GTAGCTTTTGTTTGAGTTTTAATTAAGAAGACCTTGTGTCTCAAAGCCTGAGCTGGGTTTTTAATTGCTAGTATGTATATCACACAGACTTCAAAAGAAATAAAATATGTTTATAACAGAGAGCACAAAGGAAAGCTTTGAAATGTCTATATCCATACAAAGTGACATAATTAAAAACCTCTGAGAGCCTCTGTGATATAAGGCTTATATATATTTATTTATACATATTTATGAAGCAGACTGTTATATACCCTTAGACTTCATGAGAAAGAATTTTCAGCAATTATACTGAAAAATAATTACTACAAATTCAGACTACAGAGTTGATCAGGGCTAAAGGAAAACAGATTTATTTTCCTCAAAATGGACTTCAGATTTGATATAGTGCCAAAAGAAACACCTGAAATCTTATCTGTGAAGACAAATTTTATAAAATAGAAGCAAAAATAACATTTTAAAATGTTTTGTAAATCATGCATGTTTTTTAAAAAAAATTAATTCACTGTAAAAACCACAACTTTCTCAAAGATTCATTCATGCACAACTCTTTCCAAGACTATTCCAGAAATGGAGAGTGTTAAATTTCTGGATTGAAACAGTTGTGCTTCACAGTCCTCTTCCAGTCATTAATACACACAAAAAATGCTCCTAGAAAATACCTCCTTGTGTCTCTCCTGTTCCCATACAAGGGGCAAACATCCTTTTCAAAATTGTTTGTGGATATCTTACAAGAGGAGTATGAAGTGGGTGAAGTAGCTTCATTATACTAAATTCAACTTTTCCTAAGAAGCAGGAATTTTGCCTCCCACCTACTGAAATATTTTAAGGCCACTAAATGTGCACATGTCACACAAAACAGGGGGTTTAGACTCTTATTACTAAAGCAGTAAATATAAAAGGAGATAAGCATGGGATGCATAATAGAAACAGCCTTCTGTGTTGGATAAAGCCATGGACATCAATCACTCACCTCCCCAAAATAGAGCCTACTGTACAAAGACAGCATGTGACATTCAAGTGACAATGCCCATAAATATAGAGAGTTCCAGTTGTAAACACCACCAATGGAAGGCAGAGGACTAACCTGCAGCACAGGAGCTGCTGACCCAGGAGTCACTCTCCTCTAAGGCTGCTACAGCAATTCTGACCCTTTCACGATAACATCATTGCTTAAGTTACTTAAAGACTGACCTTTCTTATTTGATCTTCAAAGACTCTGCATGCTGAGAAAGACCATTGAGGGCTATTTCAGTAGGACAACTGCCTGATGCATGCAAGACCGTGCTATTCCAGAGATTTATATTTGGAACAGAAACAGAAAACTTAAAACAGACTCTGTATAGTGATAAATGATGCTACTCTGCCTAGCTGTGGCTGCTGAAGAAAAACTAGATAACCCAGCAACAGAAATGCATGCAGTGAGGGAGGGTGAGGACAGAGCTCTGTGCACCCAAATATCTGGAAATAAAGAAAAGAGCCCTGCCCCACTTTGTTTATCCAAATATGTAATAACAACAATTAGAATGAAAAGTATTTCCTGATCCTAATTTTTATACAAAAGAAACCAAATACTGCAAAAGCCTAACAAATTGCTTGTATACCTTAAATAAATCTATTTGCATGCACACCCTGGCAAATAGCATACAATCAAATGATTTGCACAGACAGCTCTGGGTTCTTTTTTCCAGGTGAGCAAGGCATTTAACTGCTTCAGAGACCTTTGAAAACTTGACCTATGTGTTTCATTTATAAACATATCAAATGAACAAGCAGACTTATTTAACCACTGGAATTTGGCTACAAAGCATTCTGCCAGATTCTCCTCAGTTTCATGCAACCTCCCTGAAGTCAATGGCTTGTTTGGCTGAAATTCAAGGAAGAATCTGGACCATTATCAATAACTGAAATCCTAATAAAGAAACTCAGAAAAAGCAATTTTACAAGTGAGGCACACTATGCAAGAGTAATTGTGAACAGGAACAATCCCACACCGAGAAAAAATGAATTATTCACTGTTTGTTACTTTTGTATTGGCCTCTATTGTCTGAATTAATAGATATAGTTTATAATTATATCTTGATTAACACTATTGTGTTCTAAATATAGAAGGTAAAGCAAGAAAATACCGTTTTTATTTGTTTCTCTCAGCCAATTATCTTTTCTTCTTGTCTGTGTGCTTCCCAAACATGAATAGAAACAGTTTGTGTCAGTGGTACATTTTTTTCCCTGCTTTCATCCTTTTTTCTGGCACTGATTCTTAGTGAACTGCCTTCCCACAACCAAGATGCTAGTCTTTCACTGAAGGGGGAGGGCTGTGGTTGTGCAGACACAGAGGAAGAATATGTGCTCAGGTTATCCTTAGCGAGAACAACGCCTTCTCTCTAAAATAAACAACTCCCAGTAACAGTCAGTGCAAAGAGCAGCTCCTCACAGGACCACACCTTCCTTTCTTATAATCAACTTTTTTTTTTCCCCTCTAATGAACTCATTGATTTATTTTTACCACATCACTTCATGCCTCTAAGTTAGACTCTGTAATATGAGCAGAAATTCTTCACAAGTTCAATTCAATGAAATTATTTAGAAACTAACAGCAATTGAGGAAAAATATATTTGACCTCTGAAAGACAACAGATTTTCAAATGTAGTTCTTTTAGATCCCAGAATGCTCTACCAATTACTTTGCTGGAAATTCAATCGTCACCATGAAAATGAACTTCATGATTGTGGAATCTACCACCTTGAACAGCAAAAAGATTTATTTTAAAGTATGCTTCCCCTAATTTGTTTTGTTCCCTTCATGTAATCGGGCTTTCATGCTGCCACGTGCTAGATTGTTATTTGTTTGTGGATTTTTTTTCTTCCTTTCTGAGATGATTTAAGGTACACAAATGCTGATAGGAGTTAATAGCAGACTATTGGGTTAATAGTGGTTTTATTGGCTCAGAGGTAACCAGCCTGGAGACAGTGGTTAGGTCATGGGTTTGGGAGTCCAAACGAGAGGATTCCAACTTCAGACCTGTTCCTACTCCAGGAACAGGTATGTATGCTATACAACCCTGCACCTAGTTCTCTTCTCCTATAAAACATCACTAATGCCTTTGTCAAGAGATCTGAAGTGTAAAACATAACATAACAGCAACCATTTTTTGTCTTCCATGTTGGTTCTATTTTTAAAAAATTAAATGCAGCTGCAGTAGCGAAGATTCAGCATCGCATCTTGCTGGAAGCCAACGAGCAGCGTGGATGAATATTGCAGATAATATGACAACTTAAAGACAGGTTACACAGGAAATGGGCTGTGGAAACTAACTGAGGGACTAGCAATACATAAATCTGCTGAGCCTAAGCTGAGGATCCTTTTTACACACTTAATAGGCTATTCCCCTGGAAAAGGTAGTTGAGAAATCTTCCAAATCTGAGTTAGAGTGCTTTGTAGGGAGATGAGAAAAGGATGAGAAGCAAGAACTCTACCCACTCACTCTGCAGAGAGCATATATGCTAAGAAAATAGGAGGAACAATGTAAATCCAGAAAAAAAACCCTTTCTTTTTCAATAAATGAGATGTCATTAGAAAGGATTTTGTGCCATATAAAAGAATAAAGAACATTATTCTGCACTGTCAGAGATGCCACCTCTTTTAAATTTGATTCGCTAATAGCATTCAAGTAGTTTCTATTTAAAGACTAAGTAGATATATTTTGCAATTAATAGACAATAATAATTCAACTAGCATTCAATGTTTTCCAAAGTATTAAGAGACAATATGGCTTTAAATAGATCGTGATTTCAACACAATTTTTTTTTTTTTTATTGCAGTCAATTTTAACATGTTCCTGCAAAACTGTATGCTATATTTCTATCACTGATATTACTATGGGATTTCTTACCTGCCTAACATATATGCATTGTCATAATTCTACCAGAAAAATCAGGAGAATCCAACAGATTTTTGGTCCTGAAGGAACCAATTATAACTTACTTATTAAAAAGAGCCAATCTTTCATCTACTTGTATTAAAAAAAAAAAAAAATGGAATGGACCCGAATTTCCCCAGTGGAAATTTAAATCCCTAAGCATCAATTTTCATCAAATAGACTATATATATTTGTTTACATTAAATAATTTTACAGAAAAGTTTTATTAATATGATGAACAGGACTTTTTGTTTCCACACCTTTTTAGTTGCAGTTTAACAAAATCATACAAATGAAGATAAATAAATCTTGGGTACTTAGTGTACTCCTGAAACATGCCTTATAACCCCTTCTCCCAGCACAAAAAAAGCACATGTTAAATGTGTTGCTTAATCAATAACACTGAATTTCTTCTCAATAAGAAAACACATAGAAGAATAGAAGGGTGGGGAAAAACACTTCAAGTTTTCTACCTACTACTTAATTGTCAAGAGAATTTCACTTTTCCTTGAATGCTGGCTCAAGAAATAATGAGAAAACTGGAAACCATTGCCCACATATACAACAAATTTTGTACTGACTTCAGTAAGACCAAAATTGTATCCAGACCTGCTCTTTCTCTGCATAACAGGATTAATAAAAACAATTTTTTTTTTCAATTTTGAATCAAAGATTTAAAATAGCAATGACACAATTATCGCCCTTTATAATCAGAAAGCTATTTCTACACACAGTTTGTGCAACTGGGAAGAAGAAGTACCAAGTACTGGTAACTCTGCATTTCTTCCTCTTCCTCTGCTCAGAGATATATGGCTGATGTCAGTGAACTAATGTAACTAACCTGGTGTTTTGTGATAACATCCCTGATACTGCCTATAACTGATTGTGACATACTCCATTTTTTTTGCACACTCATCAGTCATTTCAAAGATAAACATTAAAAACCACGGTGAGTTGCCTGGAAAGAATGGCACCCTCCAGTCATGACAGCTACTTCTGTTATTTTTTTTCTGAAATTTCAAAAATCCTCCATCTCTTTCTTAAAATATATGCAACCATTTAAAATTTGATCTAATGAGATACCTTTAATTTCTCCAAGGAGATCACTTGTGTTTAATTTTTCCATCTTCTCCTTCCAGTCTTTAGAAAGTAGCTTTTCCATACAGGATGAATCTATATTAAAAAAAAAAAATACTAATCATTAAACATATTCTTACAGGAAAACAGGTGCCACCTTCATTTTAACACTGTTCTCCCTGTACCACTCGAACCACAGCTTAGAAAGGAAATGATCTTGCAGCCAAAGAGAGTTCTTATTTAACTGCATTTTAAATCCAAAGTAATTCCCCTGGGGTTAATGGAGTTACTATGGATTTAACAAGGGTCTAATTGAAAGAAAAACTTTGTTGAGGATTTATGCATGCTAACTGCCAATTTACATGCATAGATTGCCAATGTATATAAGAATTCTGTCTTTTCATTTGAGAATGATTGTACACTCGAAATTATACATGAAGATTTAGTAGCTTTTTTTGGAAATTTGGCACACAGTGACATCTGAAACCCATTTTTATACCCATGTCAATGCAAAAGTTATTCATATAATGTCTCCATGGAATTCATGAAAGCACTCTACATATTCGATGTTCACAGTATCAGAAATTTTCTTGGTAAGCTATAAACAACATGCAATGATTAGAAGATAGGCTTTCGTCATGTCAACTTCAGAATGCATTTCAAGGCTTTACCCCAGCCTGGGAGGCCTTCTGGAGGCAAAACTGCCACTGAAGTCATTACACTTTGGAGAAAGTAAAAGATTGGCCCTAGTAAGCTTCCTGTGATCAGACCCTAATCCCACTACAAAATTTTATACTGAGCATAACAGACTCCAATAAATTCTAAAGGTTTTTTTCTGTTCCTAAATTAAACTAATTGGCTCTGATGTCTAAATTATAGATAACCTTGCAGATACCTAGAAAAGGTGATTTTTAAGATAGAAATTCTTATGAAGGGAGCGTACAAGACTGCAAATTCTCCTGGAGGCAGCCTACAGGAAAGATAAAGAGAGACTATTTACAAGAAAATGTAGTGGTAGCTCAAGGGGGAATGGCTTTAAACTAAAAAACACTAGATTTAGAGTATATATGAGGAGAAAATTGTTTACTGTGAGGGTTGTGAGGCACTGGCACAGGTTGCCCAAAGAAGCTGTGGATGCCCCATCCCTGGCAGTGCTCAAGGCCAGGTCGGATGGGGCTCTGAGCAGCTTGGGATAGTGGAAGACGTCCCTGTCCATGGCAGGGGAGTTGGAATAAAGTGATGTTTAAGGTCCCTTCCAACCCAGGCCATTCTGTGATTCTGTGGTTGATGTGATGTGGGTTTTTATGACTTTTAAGAAACACAGTTCAGATTTCTAAACAATTATCAAGAAAACTTCACAAACAACACTTATTTTTCCTTCCCAGTTAGTAATAATAAAATCTCTATTAAACTTTGTGTGCTTGCTTTCACCTGTAGGCACTCACCAACAATGTCTGTGCTAAACTCCTTGAAAACCCTTAGGGCCAGTTTGCAAAATATCAAAACCTACATGTAACCCTATTCCCAAACCAAACTGTAGCAAAGAGCCTTTTTGTAAGGGCACACATCACCCTGTGATGTGTGACTGCTGAGCACAGTGTTCCTTGGGAAACAGTCACACACCTTCTCTTCCTAGAAAATATAACAGCAAGGGGCCACTTGTTTGAGAAGACCAATTTGCACAATGCTAAGTAGCTAATAATATTCCAAATTATAATTATTTTTGTACCAGTCCTACTCCAGTAACGAATTAACAGTGAGTTGTACGAGAAGGTAGAATTCAGTCTTCCACTAAATTACTGGCAGCTTAAGATCAAATCACAGCTGAAATTCTCATTTCAGTCGTCCCAGCAGAAGCACTCACACATGTGAAAGCAAAAGCAAATTGCCCAGATTTAAGAATGGCAACACAGATCATATCATTGCAATGGGTAACAGTTTGTTCCACTTCAGACGATTCCAAAAATACTCAGAGGGAGGAGAGACATTCAAAGAGGTCACAAAGGGAGGAGTTAAAGATTTAGGGAGAAGTTTAAGGAAGAGAATAGCCATATGGCCAATCATATTTTAGGGTACAAGTCATTTCAGCCTAAAATTTCATTAGTAGAACTCATTTGACATAAACAAAGAAAAACCCCAAACAAAACAAAATCCGATTGAAAGCAAACCAAACAGTAACTACCAGGAGATCAAAGATCAGGTTTTAATTGCAACACGTTTTCACCATGCAAGCCTCCATGGAAAGACAACACAGCTCATAAATATTTTTGAAGTAATATTTCAGCAGAAAAGCTAATTTATTGACTAATTATATCTTTCTATGAAAGAGACAAAATTAAGGAGCTGTAAGTTGCAATAGGCAGTGTTAAAATACTAGTTATATAATAACAATTTACTTTTAACAATAACAGGCACTTATTACTTTTATGAGTTCTGGCCTGATAATAGGAGAATCAAGAAATAACCATCAATTATCAATAGAACATTATAATTTGTCCTTTATTGTGATATCATGATTAGTTTAAAAAGAGGTTTCTGTGATTCTCCCCTGCCAAAATTTCAGACCCCTCATCCTTGAAAAAAAAAGCTTTAGAATTTTATTTTGATGTTTGCTATAAGTTATGTATTCTACTGCTTTTAAATAAGATGATTTCCTCAATTCACACAAAGAAAAAGAATAGTTCAATAAAAAAGGAAAACAAAAAAAAGAAATAACTAGCATAGTACTGAAATTGATAAAATACTTTCCTCAAAAGCACTTGTTTTATTTTTTCTCTCACTGTTCCTAAGAACACCCATGCTTATCTGTAGTGTTCTTATATTATGTAAGGACAAAAAATGTATTTCTAAAGACAGACTTGGAAAGAGCTAGATTGGAAAACAGGTCTATTTGTGTGCCTTTTTGATATAATCACATTGCTAGTTAGAATTTTTCTCTACAAATGACTGAAAAATTCCTTAAGAAAGAGTTCTTTTAACACCCCTATCTCATTCAAATTCTGTGTTCTGGATCTGACCACACAATTTATAGCTACTGTATTTTGCTATTGAGAGGATTTCAAAAATGATTACACAATGAGCCTTTTAATAAACTTTTTTATACTATTGTGAAAGTGGTGTTATGAAAATCCTGTATATTTGCAATTATCATGTTTATTCTGCATAATTTTTCAAATTTAAAATAATGATATGTGGTTAAAGCCCTCTGGAGGTCCTTGACATTAGACCCAAAACTAAATATAAAGGCTTATACTTGAAAGGCATGACTCCCTTCAAATTCTGTATTCCGTGTTCACAAACACACATTTTGAAAAGGTTTGTGAATCAGAAAGGGATTTTTTTCCTTTCTGTACTGAAAAGTAATTTTTACAGACATATAAAATCTACAGAGATATCTTCTGACATCAGTAAAATGTCTTCATCCATATTGATTCATTTTCTGATTTGATTCATTATAGAAACAAAACATCGACTTGGAATCCAGCACTGAGCAGTGAAGAAAGGAGCCCGAATTCACATCTGCACTGCATCACTCTCCCTGCACTGCTCCAGCACCATTCCAAAACCCTGTGGATCCCGACATTTTCAAAATTCAGGGGTATTCTTGCTGAAGACAATTATAAAAGAAGCAATGAAAGAAATTACCATTTATACATTTTTAGCTCTTCTCACTGACTTTATAAACCACAGTCAGGCTTATGCCGCACAGTAGCATATTTTCTACTGGCACATGTAAGATCAAACTCGTGAAGTTGCACTGGAGCAATTTATTCTATTAAAAAACACAGAGCTTCTCTTCCTTTATATTCTTCCCTTGTGAAGGAAAAAATTCCCTTCAAGGACAGCAAACAGGTTAAGTATAATTATGATGACTAAATTAAATCTTTGAGTATTATTTAATATCACGGTTTGTTACATACTTAGTTAGCAATTTTAATTGTAAACTAAAGGAGTTTAAAGTACTGTGAGAATCTTGTTAGACATGACAGTTTTGCAAAGGTGAATGAGAAGAGGATGTTAAAAGATATATATAATCAGGGGAAAAAATGCTGAGGGAAAAAACCCTAGGTGTTAGATGAAAAGGATCTCTTCACAATGACAAAGCATCGATGAAAAGAATTAACATTTGTCCGTTGGGTAATCAATCAGTCATGGAATGGATGGAATCCAGCTCTTTGTTGCACGGCTGGTGATGAAGAGCGAGCGTGTTAGCTATCACAGCCAAGCTCTCAAGTTCTTCTGACTGAATGAAAGTCATCTTGTTTGAATCAGGACTAGCCTTTGCCTCTTGTCTCATCCTTATTCTCCCCCTTTTTCAGCTCTGGGTTTTTTTCCTTTTAATTTCACTTTTGCATTCTTCAACAAGTTACTCACCCCAGCTATTCATTACATGAATACTGTATGACCTGACAGTGGCCTGCACCTATCCTCATTGATTTTGGGGGGTGGTTCCTTGTTTTTTTTCCTCTTAATTCACTAAAGTAGCCTCCTATTACTTTCTTTGAAATACAGATTAAAAAAAAAATAAATAAATAAATAAAAAGCCGTTCATGCCATGTGTGAGTTTTTGTTTTTTTATGGTAAAGTCATACATAAAAGAAAACCTAAATGTGAGAGTGCAGCAGCAAAACTTCAAAGCCCTGACTGTCAGACATTATTATTTCAAATCAGCTTTGACTTTTTGAGACTTAATAAAACACTATAGTACAGACTGGCATATTTATAACACCTATACCAGTGATCAACTGAACTGTCTTATTCTTTCTACTGTGCAGTGCCTTGTTATTTCTTTTATAATAAGCTTCTCTCAAAACATGTTGTAACAATACTGCAAACTGATAATTATTAATGATATGAGTTCTAAAACATCACTTGTTTTGCATACAATCCTTTTTGAATCCACACATTATTTTGTGACAGAAGACAAAAGCACATTGATTTATTAATAATGATTGCAAATGCACAGCAAGTTCATAAACAATACGGAAATATAATTCAATCAAAGGTATAGAGGTATAGGTGACATATTTCTACGTGCATCTGAATTGTTACATCTCAAGGAAAGAGGCATTGGAAAAGACAAGGGAGTGGATTTA